ATCGACCTTTTAAATGTGCTCCGTCAACTATAATAACTGGGCGCATGCAAGTAATAAACGATCGAATCTACAAAATCATATACACAAGAAATATAATCATTTAAATGTGAAATGCATGTAACTAACAAAAATGAGTCAACAAAATTATATTGATGTCTATCTCTATCTGTTTTGATATGAGTTACCGACACAGGATTTTTCAGCTTTAAATTGTGACAATAAGCCGGCAGTTGGGCAAACGATGCTTCTGGCGACCCCCTCAACAATTCCAAGGCATAACATTTGGCTCTCCAAGCTTGAGAATATGAGATACTAATCTTGGACCGAGCATTCGTGTCAGTCATAATTTCATGTCCCCGATATACCCTGGTGTAAACACCATTTTTCAACACCAACACCTACCACCCCATTTTTTCAACACCAACACCCATCATCCCATTTTTTTCAACACCAACCCCATCACCCCTTGTTCCCTGCGAAAATCAAGGTATAATCAACTGAAAAATCATTGTAAAATTGGCTATAAAAGCCAAATGCATGTAATCAAAAAGGGAGGATTTTCTCTCCGATTTTTCCAGAAAAATACAAGCATTTAACGGTAATTTTTTTATTTTCGTATTCAAATACTATTTTTTTTACTCTATGCTATTACGAGAAAATACTAAAATAATTTAGAATCAGAGAGAAAAGAAATAAAAATCAGATTATTCCAAGGTATTTTGAATATTTTTTTAGTTTTGAATCTAATATTTTTTTTGAAGCTTTGTATGTAAAATAAGAAGGAAAAAGAGTGAGTAGATTATTACCTTAGATCGGGACGGTTCGCAGTGGTGGCCATGGTGGTTCATGGCCAACGATCGTTTATTCCACGAAGTAAAAATGAAATAGGAAAAGAGGAAGAAATTTGAGAGAAATAATAAAGAGAATAAGAGAGGAAATGAAAAACCTTGCGCAGAAATGATTCTGGGGAGAGAAAAAAGTAAAGTTATTTTGGGTTTTGGGTTAATCACATGTCAAGTCATCCATTTTTAATATGTTTCATGTTTTAGTTTAAGTATTAGGGTAAATAGCATACTAGGTCATCATAGTTTTAGTGTGTTTTGCATTTAGATCACTAATTTTAGGTTAAATCACTTTATTGGTCCTTTAAGTTTAATGTGATATGCGTCTTTAGTCATTTTAGGGTTAATCGTGCCTTAGGTCCCTTCAAGTTTAGCGTTTTTTGTGTTATGGTCACCATTTTCTTTTACTTTACATGATTTGCGAATTGGCTACTTTGTTTTGTATTATTTTAATTTAGTCCACTATTGTATATATTATTTGTGTTCGAAATGGGATACTGATGTTTATGCTATTCTATTTTAGTCATATATTTATTATTTTATTACGATTCTAGTGCTCATGTTATGTGATTTTCTTGTTTCATGCCATGATATTTATTTTTATTAATGTTTATAATTTTAAAATTATTTTTCACTCATTTTTGTCACTAAGATATTAATGAATATATATGTATATTGTTTATTTGTACCATTAAAGTATGTTTTATGTTCTAGGTATTTATTTTACTTATATTATTATATATTACTTTATTATATACATAATATTATATGTAGAGCACGATAAATATTATATTTTATATTTTCATTATATTTTAGAATAAATATTATGTCATACGTTTAATATCATATTTAGAAAATATGTATCTATTTATAAAGTAAAACAAAGTTAAAATTAACCTTAATGTGTGTATTTATTTTTTAAATATATCAATGTATCATATTTTATTATGTTTAAAAATAACCTTAGACTTTTAAATCTTTTAGGTCCGATATTTTAATTCTTTGACATGTTTATTCCCCGAACTATGTTTATACATTTAATATTGATATAATTAAATATGTTAAATAGAACCTCCATTTTAGGTTAGATTTCAAACTAGTCTTTAATTTAGGGGATAATTCGAGTTGGCCCTTGCGTAAACGCTCGAGGGACCATCTCGGTTATTTGATTTAATAATTTTTTAAAATCAAATAAGATTAATATTAGAACCTACATCTTTAGGTTTAAGCCCTAGGTTCCTTAATTATCATAATTTGATACCTTAAGTTAGAAAAGGCCTTAATTTATCTTAGATTGATTAGGATTGAATAAGATTTTGTCCGAGTGCATTTTATTTTAAACTTTAAGGCACTATTCACTTATTAAGGAGTTAATAGTATATCCTCCGCGATCGTGCTCAGGGGGTGACTACTGGTAATTCCCTAATTAAGTTAACATCCTTTTCAAAATCACATCATGTTTTTAAAACGAGGCAATGTTCGGTTATTAGACACAATAGCTTATCTCCCGCATTTACGCTCGGGGGCGAATGCTATCGGTCTCAGTAAACGAATACCCTTTTAAAACTTTGCATTCTTAATGATTTTTAAATTAAATAAAGATCGAATTCAAAATTTCCAATTTTAAATATAGGGTAATCGACTAGGTACCAATTTTTGGGCGCTTGTGGGGGTGCTAATCCTTCCCCACGTGTAAATGACTCCCGAACCTGATTTCTGGATTTTTCGCAGACCTTAAAACTTGGTATTTTATTAAAATAAAATGTTTTATTAAAATCACCTGGTTTTTACGGTGTTCCAATCTCACCTTAAATGATTGGTGGCGACTCCTCACATTTTTAAATGATTTTCAAAGAGAAAAAACCCGAGTCGGTATCGGTCTTTCCCCGCCCGGGCGAAAAACGGTGTCGACACCTGCCATTCAAAAACATTAACTCATCCAGAAAACCACCCAACACCTTTTTGTTTGCCTGTCTATGGTGAGGAAAAACTTGGGTTCTTGAACATGTATGTTTATCAATAAAAGTCTTAACTTGAAACATTTCGCAATCTTTTATCCTCTTTGCAATCATACGCCACGTACAATTTTTGTCAATCATACACCTTGTTTCGAAACGATCTCTACTTGATTTGTTAACTTTTAGTTGATAGCCATCTTCCACACATTTCGTATACAAATCTATCTTCAAGTTTTTGTTCAACATGTTCATTCACAGTCGTAACTTTATCCTCATTATCATCAACAACATCTTCCTCGGCAGCGGCTGTTTCATCATCAAAATTCGGGTATTGATCAATATCAAAATCATTACACGCAGAGTCTGTTTCTTCTTCTGAAACATCATCAAAATCCGAGTATTGACCAAGATCAAAGTCCGGGTATTGACCAAGATCAAATTCCGGGTATTGACGAAGATCAAATTTCGAATACTGACTAGTACTCACAATTTGTTCTGTTGGCTCATCATCGTCTAACTGGTCAATACGAAAACCGGAATTTGGTGCTGAAAGTTGATTGAGATTTGGATTAGGGAAAGGTTGTGGGTTTTGAGATTGTGTTTGGTATTGGAAATGTGGTGAAACAAAATTTGCTTGGTGATGAAATTGTGGTGGAACCATTAAATTTTGAGCACCATAAACTGGGTTTGAAAAACTTAGTTGATTACTACCCGCTACTGACCCAACTTCACCACTTCTAGGTTCAACAACATACAATGTAACATCATCTTGCGAAACACTAATGCAAGCAATGAATCGTTCAACATCTTCATTGTCGGTTAACAAATAAACTTTACATTTTCTCAGATAAGATAGCCTAAATCCACTTAAGGGCTCTAAATTCAATTTATTTGTAACACATAACATTAGAGTTTCATAAGTTAACTTTTTTAATGACAGTTTTAGTTGAAGATTCATGGGTAAAGGCATATATTGTAAAACACCATGAACATTCTCCCACGACCCTCCAAAACACAAATCTATTCAAACATGATCAACATTAGATGATTTCATTATTGTAAATTAATTTACTAAACAAACGAGCTGCGAAACTAAAATCTGTTGCCGGATGGGGAAGGGTGTCGTTGGATATAGGAACGGATGTCGCCAGAGAGAGTGATAGATGGAGATGGAATGAGTTGCGATTTAGGGATTTAGGTTATGAGTTGCTGCTTCGTAGTTATATACCCAAAACATTTGTGTTGCGAAACTAAAACCTGTTGCGAATTTGAAATTCAGCGTTGCGACAGTCAAAATCGCGTTGCGATAGTCAGGATCGCGTTGTGAATCTAGAAACTGATTTGCGATATTGGAGATCGCGTTGCGATTTAGAGATCACATTACAATTTTATTGGTCATTTTGACAAATAAAAAAAAATTGATCAAAATCGTGTATTATAAGGAATTTTCGAGTTTATTTTCTCTATAAAATCATGATCTGTTTATACATGCGGTCGTGTGCCACGTCTTCCCAGCAGTGAGGAAGATCCGAAGGCCGTGGTAAAACTGCTCCGTGTGGCATGGCATTGATGAAAGAGTTAAAGAAGAAAATTACAAGGCAGTTGATTTGTTTCACAAGGGAAGACGTTGGGTTCTTAAATTTCCAATGGCAGAGTTAGGTTTGTGTATTGTAATGTCACTGCTTCTGCAATATTTACTGCTCTCTGCTCAAACTCAGACCAGACTTTTTTCCGACTCCTTTAAGCTCTCTTGTTTTGTTTTTTTACTGTTTCTGCTATAATCTGATCTTATCTGGTTTCAACTGAAGCCGACTCTTAGCAGTTAGCATCTCTGCTATTGTCACCAAATATTTTTCTCCTGAGATAAATCTTTCTTCTCTGTCCTTTTCTTACTTAGAAACCAAGCCCATTTTTTTTATTACAATTATCCTAGTTGCAATAAAAGGAAAAAACAAATCCTTACCGTACATGGAAGAAACGAAAATGGTGCTTGGATCATGAAATTTGGCAGCTTTTAAGAATCCAAGGCGAGTTTTTGTTTTTCCTCTTGCAATGAAGTTCACGGTTTGCTTATTAACATCTTTGTTTTCCCTTTGGGAGGATTTTTTTCCATCTTCTCTTGTTGATTTTTTTCCTTTACATGTTGGATTTATGGAGATCAGATCCCCTTGTTCGTTTACGTCAGAGTTGATACATTGTACATTGTTTCTCTTTGTTAGCTGAATGAGCAAATGAAAGTAAAATCAGGTATGAGTTTGAAGATCAGAGTTTCTTCCTTTTTGTTAGCCACTTAGATTATGTTTTGTTATAGTTGACTTAAGGTGTAATAATTCTTGTATATATATATATATGTTATGATTCTATAGATGCAATAATGGAGGTCGAAAAGAAACATTCAAAGGGGGGAGTTTTTCATTTGTTTGATTGGAATGGTAAATCTCGAAAGAAATTGTTCTTGAACACTGCCGAAATCTCAGGTGTTTGTTAGTTTTTTTTTTGGTATGTTATAAGTTGCTTTTTTTCGTCTTCTCGAATAAATTCGTGATTCATGTGCAACTTGCAGGAGAATCAAAGAGAGGAAAACCTGTGGAAAATCTACTGAAGTCGCCGCCTTTTATGGTGGAAAATCTACTGAAGTTGGCCCTCAGACAACTTCCAAAACTAAAGTGCCTTCATTTGGTTCTTCTTCAGTCCCTTTGAAAATACGGGATTTGAAAGAGAAAATCGAAGCCGCACATAAAGTATCCAGGCCTCAAAATCTTGAAGAGCCTAGTTCGAGTGCGGCGAAGGCTTTGAAAGAAGGAAAGAGTCGAAATAAATCAGATTCTGCATCAACATTAAGGACATCTAGGGATTCAGAGAAAGGTAGTTGTAACAGTTCAAGGAATAAGGGGAAATCAGTCTCACTTGCACAGCAAGCAAGGGCTAATGGTCGGAGGAAAGAGGAGTCCTTTTCAAGTGGTAATGGGAGTTCTGCAAATCCAAAGCAAGGGAATGATGCTAAAGGAAAACAATTTTCTAGGAGCCGGGCCGATATGCGAAAAAATGTGGAGAATGGAACTTCTGCTAATAGGACTAACAATGTCCTGAGGCAGAATAATCAGAAGCAGAACTGCATATCTGGTAAAGACTACTCGACATCAAACGCTTCAAATCGGAAGCAGCAAGGTAGAAAGGTTAGATCCTTAAATGGTACAGCGGGTCCGAATAGGACTATAAACAAGGTGACTATGACCTCAGAATCTCAGTCCAGGAACACGGGCTCTTCAAAGGAGCTTCCCATGTCTAGAAGAAAGAATTTGCCCAGAAAGAAACAGCCTGCAAATGAGGATCTTTTGTCTGGAAAAACAGTTTCTGAAAATTCATCAATAAATGGTGTTGGAAGGTCCATAAAATGTAATGTTACAACCGACGGGCGACCAAATCAGGATGCAGAGAAAATGAAGACAAGCATGGATGTTGTTTCGTTTACATTTACATCTCCCATTAAAAGATGTATGCCTGATGTACCTTCCACAAGTGAAGTTGTGGAACCGAGCTGCAGCGTTCATAGTGATCCTTCCGGTAAAAATGATACACCATTCTCGAAAAGCTCAGGATTTTCTTCTCTTGGACTTGATAAAATTGGTGGGGATGCTCTGAGTGTTCTTTTAGCAAAACAGCTACATGAATTGGCATATAGAGTCGAGTCATCCAGTTGCAATATCATTTTAGAGGAGACTTCGTGCAGTCCCACATCTAGTCAGCAAAATTCAGTGCTTCCGTCTAGTACAGTGACCACTACATCAACGGGACATCACAAAAGACTTCCGGTGGATCTAATGAAAAACATATCACTTAGTTTCGATGACTTAGATTGCTCTTCAATCGACAATCTGGAGCTTGAGCAGGTTTGGTTTACTCACTCACTGCTTCCATTTACTTGTACAATGAAATTTGTTGCTTATTTCTTGGTGTTTATAATAATGTCTCACACCGCACAAGGATTTTCCAAAGCATAGAATTGACTCCTTGGATTTTAGATGGCATTCTTCCTTAACCAAAAATACATCATAATTTTACTGAATTATACCTAGAGACAGAAACTTCAGTTTTTAGGAGTTAAAATCCAAGCTAATGGAGAACTTTTCCTTTTTCCATTTTCTAGTAGCCTACACCTGCATCCTTCGATTCTATTCGGAAGAATATATATTCATCTGTTAGTACACTTAACATTTCTTCATAATGTACAGACAAGTTGTTCTTAGAGTGATATGGAAGGTTGATAAGATGTCTCTAAATTCAAAAATTTCCTCGATTGCCTTTCACATTTCATAATTCGACATATGACCTTAACTTTATCGGACAATACCAGCTTCCAGAAGAAATGGAAGATCGGAATGCTAGCAGCAGCAGCAGCAGCGAGACTGGCATAGAATCAGATCTTCCGTGGCCTAGCCCGCTTTCAACTCTTGAACATGCTGTTGTGAGTGAGTGTTTCACTGATGGTACAGATGGTACCAATGGTAAGCTTTACTCTTCTTATTTTCTTGGGGCAATGCCTAGAGTATACTTATGTGTTTGTCTCAGAGGCAAAGAAATGATTATTGGCATAGATGATTAATATGTAAACTCAGTAATCAAGTTGTTGCATTGACTGCATCCAATCTCCATTTGCAGGCATGATGTGTTTCGCTCTCGATCATGAAGTATTAAGCTCATCACCTGGAATTAAGTCTTCCCAAACCACGGGAGAAACCGACGAAAAGCTTCTAACTACGACATCCGGTTCAACAAATTTTAAACGATCAACCAATTCCGAACTCGATTATGTTAAAATGGTGCTAAAAGACTCCGACCTAAAGTTCATAGAACATGCATTGGGTCAGACTGATAATACCATGATCCCGAATGCCTTCGATCAGCTCCAGCATTGGAACGGAACAGAAAGACACAGAGAAGACTGCAATAAGCTCGAACTAAAGCTTTTACTCGGTTGTGTGAGTGAATCCCTGGAGCTAAGGTACGGCCAAGTTTTTATCGGAAGCTGCAAAGGATATGCTAAGTGGGGAACATTGATCCAAAACAAAGAATGTCTAGCAGAAGAATTGTACAAAGATATATTGCGTTGGAGAAACATGGCAGACATCTTGGTGGTGGATGACCTTGTAGGCAAGAACATGAACGCAAAGCATGAGAGATGGCTTGATTTTGACATGGAAGCATTTGAAGAAGGTTTAGAGGTTGAGAATTCCATATTAACTTGTCTAGTTGATGAATTAGTTTTTGATTTATTGCTTTAAAGGCTCTCTCATAACCATTTTCCCTTGTAATTCACTGTCCAGCCAAGCATATATTTGGCAATGGAAGGTGGAATGTGGAAAAACATGTTCTTGAGGCCAAAGGGCTCTCAGTTTATTCCATGGTTAGGAAAAAAACTGAGACGTTGTTGATAAATTAGTATGATCTGATGTGCCTTTCAAACCAGAATCTGAAAATTATATTAACAATCAACCTAATGATATCTCGATTCTCGAAGAAGGTGGCCGCCGAATAAAATATGCAGTGCATAAATGACACCTAATCCTTGTTTTATGAGATACGAACAGTAATAATACAAGTTAATTAACCATTTAAATTACTTCGGACTGTAGCAGAGGCAGAAGGATATATATATATATATATATATATAAATTAATATCATGGATGATGGATCCCTACTCTTCTCTCAAGGCTTGCTTTTTCTTTTGAAAAAAAAGTGGTTTTTTAATGTTACAGGATAAAGACATTCAGCAGCCATTCATCCTTATAAACAGGGTGATATATATATAAAAAAAATAATTAACATTTGCAGGAATTTAGGGATTGCTTCTGTAACGGGAATTAATCCCTGCATAATAATCCCTGCGAAAGAATCTCTGCATATAGACAGAAACATAAGATCCGACTAAATTTAAAAGAGGAAACATGAAGAGAATGATACACAGAAGTCAACGTTAGCAAGCCCAGTTCTAATCCTTCATAAATACCAATAACAGAAACGTATAAAAAGTATAAGTCATGGAAAATACTACAAAGACATTAAAAGAAGACAGAGATGATACACCCTATAGATGTGACCCACGCTACTCGACTACCCTAGTCTTTAGCCTCCATATTTTCCTATCAGAGGTCATGTCTTCGGTAAGGGCTAAATCCCTCAAATCAGATCTTAAGCAGTCTTCCCACTTTCGCCTTGGTCGTCCTTTCCTTCTGGCACCGTCGACTGTAATCGACTCTACCCTCCTTACCGCATCCGACGGTAGTCGCCTAAGGACATGCCCAAACCACCGTAGTCTTCCCTCCCTCAATTTTTCGGAAACAGACACCACCCCCAAGGACATCCTAATAGCAGAGTTTGTCGTCATATCCCTCAGAGTCCTACCACATGTCCATCGAAGCATTCTCATTTCTGCGGCCTCAAGCCTCCTTACGTGATCCTTCTTGGTTGCCCAACATTCTGATCCATACAACAGCGCTGGTCTTATTGCCATTCTATAAAATTTTCCCTTAAGTTTTAGAGGGACCTTCTTGTCACACAGAACTCCAGTAGCGGCCCTCCACTTTAGCCATCCCGCCTTTATACGGTGTGTAACGTCATCATCTACACCCCCATCTTTATGTATCATAGACCCTAGGTACTTGAAACAATCCTTTGAGGGGAGAACGTGTCCTTCTATGCATACTTCTACATCTTCATCGTTTTGGTTCCCATTGAAGTTTGAACATAAATACTCTGTCTTTTCAATATTGATCCTTAAACCTTTTTCTTCCAAAGCAGTCTTCCAGGTAGCCAGTCTGCTATTCAAATCAGATTTTGTTTCAGCAACTAAGACAATGTCGTCAGCGAAAAGCATACACCATGGTACACCGTCTGGTGTCGCACAATAGATGTCGTCCATAATCAAGGCGAAGATGTAAGGGCTAAGAGCCGACCCCTGGTGGAGTCCGATTTCCACCGGGAATGCCTCGGTGTCGCCAACTGTAGTCCTGACGTAAGTAGTAGATCTACAATACATATCACGAATCGCCCGGATATAAGCAGTTGGGATCCGTCTCGTTTCCAAAGTCTTCCAGATCGTATCGCGGGGAACACTATCATAAGCCTTCTCAAGGTCAATGAACGCCATGTGAAGATCTCTAGACTTTTCCCTATATTTCTCCATAAGCCGTCGAAGTAGATGAATCGCCTCCGTGGTAGACCTGCCTGGCATAAAGCCAAATTGGTTTTCCGAAACCCTAGTAACTTGTCTCAACCTAGCCTCTATCACCCTTTCCCATAGCTTCATGGTATGGCTGAGGAGTTTAATACCTCTGTAGTTACCACAACGTTGGGGATCTCCTTTATTTTTATAGATTGGTATCACCGTAGACTCTCTCCACTCCTCTGGCATCTTGGCAGTCTCTAAAATAATATTAAAGATGTTGGTCAACCACTTAACTCCCTCTTCTCCTAGGGCCAACCACACAGTGATAGGAATTTGATCAGGACCGACAGCTTTGTCCCTTCCCATCTTTCTAAGAGCCATTTTGACTTCCTCAAACCCAATCCTACTTGTAGGGCAGTCATTGGCCGTAGTATGATAGTCGGCTAACCCATCAACGATACTATCTCTACATGGAGAGGCACCGTCATTAAATAAGCCAAAGAAGTAACTACCCCAAACCCTCTTAATATCGTGATCTTTCGCTAAAAGAACACCATTGTTGTCCTTAATAAACCTAATGTTACCTAGATCCTTTTTCCTAATCTCCCTAGATTTTGCAAGTCTGAAGATGCCATTTTGTCCTTCCTTGGTGTCTAATCTCTTGTACATTTCCTCGTATGCCTTATCCTTTGCTTTAGCTACCGTTTTCTTGGCTTCCCGCTTTGCCTCCTGGTATCTTTGTTTAGCTCTCGACCTTTCTTCGTCGTCATTGCATTGTAGAAACTCCTTGAAGCAAGTTTGTTTTGTCTTCACCTTTGTTTGGACTTCGTCGTTCCACCACCACGATTCTTTATGTTCCTTGGCCTTCCCCGTCGACAACCCAAGGGTATTTTTGCCAACATCTCTGATGGAATTTGCCATATTTTTCCATAACATATCTGCATTTTTTGAGTTTGAAGTTTCAAAACTTGTATTAGACAAAACCTTACTCCTAAAGTCATCAGTTGTCGCTCCATGTAAGTTATTCCAGAGGATCCTAGGTTTACCAAGTTTAGCCCTCCTATGAGTGCTCCGCCCGTGGGGTACGCGGTACACCAAAACCAACAATTTGTGTTGTGATGCACATGCCTCTTCAGGGAACACCTTACAGTCAATGCAAGCCCATCGTTCCTGATTTCTAATCAAGATGTAGTCGATTTGGGTACAATGTCCCCCGCTATGAAACGTAATCAAGTTCGCATCTCTCTTATTAAAGAAGGAGTTAGTGATCACCAAATCGTGAGCAGTAGCAAAATCAAGCAACGTACGCCCCCCATCGTTCCTGCTACCATAACCGAAACCCCCATGAACACCGTCATACCCGTCGGTTGCACTTCCTATATGGCCATTGAAGTCTCCCCCTATGAAAACTCTTTGGTCCTCCGGAATACTCCTAAGTATATCATCTAACTGATCCCAGAAGCAACGTTTCTCCCCCTCCCCTAGGCCAACGTGTGGGGCGTACACTGAAAGGACATTCACTACTTCCTCTTCTATAATAACCTTAATCATCATGATCCTATCCCGGTATCTGCAAACTTCAACTACATTTTCCTTGAGCCTAGAGGATGCCAAGATACCCACCCCATTTCTAGCGTTATCTACGCCTGAATACCACAACTTGTACCCATTACACTCTCTGGCGCGAGACCCTTTCCACCTAGTCTCCTGAATACATGCAAAATCTATTTTTCTATTATTAAGTACGTCGGTCAACTCCAGCAGCTTAGCATTTAATGTGCCTACATTCAACGAGCAAACTCTTAATCTAGTCTCCTTGTCACCACTCTGTCGAGCCCTCCCCCTATACGCCCCATGGGATCTAAAAGAATGACATGACCTCAAGTAATCATCTGTAACAGAAGCTATGAGGAACTATGAAAAAAGAATCCAAATAAGACAGAAGATGCACTAATAAAACGCTAGAGAATTGAGGAGTACTAAAAATCCTAGTTGGTTACTTAATAGGATTTTAAGAAAAAATAATACTATCTTATTTAACTATAGGCCAATATCTAGAAACTATAATTTAAAATGTTCAATAAATATCCGAGCTAAGCAAAAAAGGATTAAAATTGTAACACGAGATATAAGAGTAATGAAATCCTACTCAACTAATTAAAAAACATCAAACCCAAAGCTGGTAAAAAAAGATCAGTATAAAAACAAGAGAAAAAACAGCAAGAAGCTAAGTCAAAGAAAGCAGATCCAACAACAACAAGATTAAGAAATATTAAGTACAAAAATATGCAAGGGATATGCGAAACAACGACAGAGCTAAAAGGGATATATCAAAATTCGTGGATGCGAAATTAACAATCTTTGTTCAGATAAAAATCTGATAAAAACCGTGCTATAACACAAAATCAAACCTTTACCTATCAAGAAATTAGCATGCAAAATATTATGAAATTAGAAGAAAAAGAGAAAATCCAGAATTTTTGTTCAGAAATTAAACCGCTGACGAAGGCGATCGTTGCTCTACGAGGAAGGTGGTCCGATCGAACTGCAAGGCGGAAGAAATTGAGCCTGGAAAGTTCGTTCGGAAGTGCGAGAAAACTGAGCTGAAAACAAATAATAATACTAAAAATACAGAAAGTTAGATTCAAATAAGCGAAAAATATAATAATAAGCGGTGTCCCCTGATTCTAAACCGATTACCCAAATTACGATGGAAGTATCAAGAATGATAAAACCCCAGGAAGATCTGGGATCTGAAGATTCTGAAGTTTCGGTACTTAAATCAAACGAGGGATTAAACCAAGCAGAAGAAGAAATTATCCACGGATCTGTTCAAACTGACATAGTACTGGAAATGGAATTTGGAAATTTCGAACAAGGCTGCAAATGCTTGGTGTATTATACCCAGTTGAAGATAACAAAAGACAAAAACAAAGCTGAAACTCTGTCCACAAACGGGCACTGTTGTAGAGAAACTCAATCGGATGAGGACAGGTTTTACAAATGTTGCTAGCAGGAGAATACAAAAGCGAGATTTTTTAGGAAAAATGGTTTTTTAACAGATAACCCTAAAAATTAAAGAAAAGGGGAAAAGGGAAGATTCAAAAAACGGATTAGTAGTTTGGAGATTTTGCAGTTGCAAGTTGAGGCTTCCTATGTGAAAGTGAGAGGAAAATGAGTGTATAGGAAAAGTCAAAAGAAACTGTGCTTTGAAACAAACAACCTCGGCCTTCCTTCAGATCTGAAGAGCTACAAATAAAAAACACCCAACAAGTTCTGTTTCAAAATTATATTTCACCAAACTTTTCTCTTTGAGAAAAATGAAGAAAAACAATAAAACCACCCACTATAAAGGATCTGTAAACCAAAGAAGATTATGGTAACCTTAAAAAAATAAAAAATCACGAAGAAGGTTAGTTAAATGCAAAGAAAATGAACCAAAAACAACCGCGAAGGAAGCAAGAGCAGATCTGTTACAAAGATGCCTCCGCAGTGTGCTTTCTTTATCGCTCTACGAACTGCAAAGCAATGAGAAAAAAGGCTGGACACAAGAAATGTAAGTAGATCCCTTTCATTAAAAGTCACTAAACTTTATAATTTGATTAACCATCGAAAAAAGGTTCATTTTTAGTATGAGAAATTGGAAATCTGTGTGAACACGACCATTATAAAGCAACCCCCAACACTTGATGATTAACCAATCCAAAACACATACACTTTGGTCGCACAAAAAAGAAAGAAAAATGGGGTTCCAAAAACTCCACGAGCCTCAAGTGTTGCTTGAAGACAATGACAGCGCCAGCTCCACACCCTATGTTAGTTCTCCTTCAAGCCCTGGACCCGGACCAGGATCAACCAATGGTGGGTTCTTTTACAGTGCACCAGCTAGCCCTATGCACTTCACCATGACCACCTCAGTGGTTCCAATGGTATCACGGACAACTCAACCATCTCCTCCTGGTCATGAGTTCGAGTTCGATTTTTCAGGGTCGAGTCAAAGGGGATCCATGACCTCAGCTGATGAACTTTTCTTGAATGGACATATCAGACCGTTGAAGCTGTCCACCCATTTGGAGAGGCCTCAGGTTCTGGCTCCATTGATGGATAAGCCCTTAAGTAGAAGAACAAAGTCCATCTCCCCTTTCGGACATGCAATTAAAGATTTAGGCCAAAAAGCCGGCGGCAAGAACAATGGAACGATCGTTGATTCGATGCCGGCTGCTTCTTCTTTGGATGGAAGAAGGTCAAGGAAATGGGGTTTTGGCCTAAAAGGTTTCAGAAGGAGCAAAAGTGAAGGAAGAAAGTGGTCAAAAGAGAAGCAGCCTGGGAACAAAAGCAATTTTGTGGTTCAAGAGAAGCTAAGCAATGGGATCATAGGGAAAAGGAGGGTTCCACCATCACCACATGAGTTGCATTACACTGCAAATAGGGCACAAGCTGAAGAAATGAGGAGGAAAACCTTCTTGCCTTACAAACAAGGGTTGCTTGGGTGTTTGGGGTTCAGCTCAAAAGGCTATGATGCCATGAATGGCTTAGCTAGAGCTGTAAGTCCTCTTCCTTCCTAAATGCAGAGGTGTCAAAGAAATATTGTATAGTTTCATTTAGAAGCAATAACGTGTAAAAACGATATGCAGCATTCCTTGTATTTTGCAGTGAAAACGCAGTAGGATCTAATGTGTATTGCCTTGGCAATGATCCATGTTTCATCAGTATTAGGTACTGTTGCTGTTAGATCATTGAAGCAATAATAATACGAGGCACATGGTTCAGTTCAGGGATCTCAAGTCTTCCCTCTTCTTAATTTGTCGGCACTGGTTAACCCATATTAGCACAGGAGGACGGTCCGGTTCCGATATCGAAGAGAAAACTCCCTGTGTTGCACATGCGTACTATGTTTATATGTATTGCATCAAATTATTGGTTTGTTGGAATTTTCGAAATATATATATATAAGTCTATACATTTTAAATAATATATTTTAATAGCATTAACTAAAGGATTTTAATAGTATTGAGTTTGAACATGATATCTACAAAGATATCTGAGTGTTTATTGTCAAATAATTTAATTTTTTTTGAATAAAATTATCTTATCATCACTCTAGATTATTCCAAAAATATATTTTAATATGAAACCTAATGTTGAGCTTATATATTTTACTATATTTTAAATAAATCCTAATAATACGTTTATCTTATTTTGACGGTAAAACTAGAGTCAAGTTGACAATCAAATTTACAGTATATTTAAAAAAAAAATATTATTTCAATTTATTGAAATTAAATTTTAGATTTAATGTCGAACAACTTTTTTTATAAAAATAATAAAATTTGAGATATCAAACATGGATTAAATCTTTAAATAATTTTATTCTTAGATTAAAAGAAAAATAATTTTTCAAAGGATTTTAGAAATCATTATTTTTAATAAAACTTTTTTTATAATTTAATTATTTTTTATTTGAAAAAAAATATGATTTGGTTCAGGAAGCAGAAGGGCGAGGAAAATTGAAAGGTGAGTCCCTCCCCCTTACCTGATTAGCTTCTTTATTGTTCGCAATTTTGTTTGAAATTGAATTTTCAGTGTGAGAGTTTATTTATGTACAGAAAAAGGTCCTCCAGTGCAAAGGAAACCCCTTAAGCATAGGGATTATGAAGTTGTTCTTGAATCTCGTTTTGGGGTAAAACTAAGATTTGCATTGCTTGGATTGATGGTTATATTGTAATTTGTGTATAATTTCCCTGTTTTAATATCTATATGTTTTGCAGGTTGTTACTCAGGTGGCACCTTTAAGTCAGCAGGTATTTTTATACCGTCTTTGGAAGTTGCATTGCAAATTGTGTTTCTTGAAGAACTGCTTAGCTGGTTGATTTTCATTTATTCATTTAAGCTCATTCTGCATCCTATATGAGGTTTTCGGTTGTTTCTTGAGTCGAAGTTTATCGTCTGTGTGATTGTCAACACTTCATGTACCTTAAGAGGAAACTCATGTCAACCTGTCTTTGTAGACTTAACTTGATTCCAACTTCTCAGACGTGTTACTCTTCTACCAACATGTAAGGCTTTAGGATGGTTCTGGCAAAACAGTTGCATGTTTGCTTTGCTATATGAATGAATGTTTGCTTGTTTTGTAGGGTATCAGTTCCATCACTGAACGTTTGATATATTATTTTTGAACAAAGGACATGAAATGGAAGTAACGTAGTGTTCAAGGAATTATTGCTTTCTGATTTTTATTTATCTCTGTATGTTACAAACATTTTGGTTGTCTTGATTAAATTGATCCTTTGCAGGCCGAATACTACTGCTCAGTTTGTGAGTGTGTAGTAAAAGATTCTGCAAACTACTTGGATCACATCAATGGGAAGAAACGTATGTGGTATTCTAGAGATTACTTTGGGTTTGTGTTGACGTATATAGACATTCATATTAGTTTTTTCATTAATCTAATCCCCCTACCCCCGGGGCTATGTTTTTCAGATCAAAGAGCGTTAGGTATGTCCATGCGAGTAGAAAGGGCAACCCTTGAACAGGTACCCAGAGAATTATTTAATGTGCATTTCAAACACTTAGAACCTCATTGGATCACAAAAGCTGTGTTCTTTATTTTGACATTTCAATCTTTGGAAGTTATTTGGTAATGCATATAAAATGCAATCTAATAGATATGTACATCCTGTGGAGTGACCAGAGAAAGAGCTTAAGAATATTAGTAGTAAAATGATGGGTGGATGGGGATTCTACTAATTGTAATTTGATTAGCCGACTTCAAGGTGGTTGATGTCTCATCTTTTTCTTTATATTTTTCTAGATCTTGATGAACGCATCATGAAACAGCAGGAAGAAGAGGAAGAGCGTAGACGCCAACGACGAGGAAGAGAAAAAGGTTTGAATTTGATAATTACTCAGTTGTTTGGCCATCAGGTTACATCTTTTTGGTATTGAGATGTTGATTAGTGAGCATGCTTTTCTGGTATTGAGCCTATTTTCAATATCCCTTGACAAGTAATAATTGATCATTGATTTCTTTCGAGTTCAGAAAGAGAAAGCAGCAGAAGAGGAACCCGAAATTGATCCCGACGTGGCAGCTATGATGGGATTTGGCGGTTTCCGTTCATCTAAAAAATGAGCAACATTTCTTCTTGTAAGATCACTGTTTTGATGCGATGAGAGAAAAATCCTCGACTTCGGTATATTCATCTGCTGGAGATGGAATTACCAAGGTTTTTTGTGTTGATTTTTTTAAAAAGATAAGATTTTCATGTATTTAATGTTTATGTTTAAATTTGAGGTTTTAATCAAGTTAAATTTTAAAAAAAATTCATTTCAAGCCTTTTCGAGTTTCAGTTCATGATTTCGAGTTCGAATCGAGCTTAAAAATTTTAGACTCGTAAATTTTCGAGCCGAATTAAACTTCAATGAAATTTTTTTAAATCGAGTCAAACTCAACTAAACTCGTTTACACCCTACTCTGTATTCCATTGATTGTTCTCCAATGATATAAATATTACTAAAAGAAACAAAAGAAATAGGGAACTGTACACATGCGTATATTCCGATTGAGGCTCCTGTAAACATACGCGTACTTTTACATGGGTAGGATGTAATATTACATGATCCCAAAATTTTAGGGATTCCACACTTTAAAAAAATCTGCTAATAAAAAAATAGGATACATTTTATTCAAGAAAATATATTTTATTTTTTTTTCTTAGAAAATAGAAAATATTAAAGAAAATATGTTTGGTGGTAAAATTAGAAAATGAGTTATAGAAAAGAAAAACAAAAATAAATGAAAATATGAAAACATAGAAAATATGTTTTCTGTATGTTCATTAAAATTGTTTTGGAAATTTGAAAAATAGAAAAATACTAAATCTAGAATTTTAACTTAACTTATCTATTTTTAAATCTTTCTAACAATAATTTTTTGATTTAATGTATGTAAAATTATCAAACTTTTGAAAAGAAGTCAATATGATCCCTAATTTTTTTTACATTGGTCCTTAAACTAATTTTTAATAATTTATTTTTTAGCATTTTTATAATTTATGTATTAAATATCTTAATAATTATTTATATTTTAAATTTAAATAATACCTTAATTTAAAAAAATAAACCCTCAAACTTTCTAAAATATTAATGAAGCCCTCAAACTTGGTAAAACATCAATTAAACTCATTTTTCATATCATTATCCATCGTGTACTGCCACACTACATCAACATTGTAGATTGTCATGTAAACTTTATGAACTGTCATATAATCGTCGTGATGATTTGATTCAGTAAGTCAAAAAAATTAAATAGATTTTCTGTGTTATAAAATTTCTTATCAATTTTATTGTTTTTGCATAACTCACATGTAAAATTTAATTAATGAAATTTTTTAATAATTATATTTTAATTTAATTATTTAATAATTGTTTATTCATCTCTATTTTAAAAAATTGGATATCAAATATATTTTCACAATTTTTATTTTTGAATTTATTTTTTCATTTATATTTACCAAACATGTTTTCTAATTTTCATAAAACTGAAACTGAAAACTATTTTCTAGAAATAAAAACAGAAAACAAAAACAGAAAATATTTTCTAGAACCAAAAGACTCGTTTCCCAAAACAAATTTTGCTATCGTTCCTTTATTAATTTTCATGATAAGATTTATTTTTTTTAGTTTTCTCCTTTATTATCTCAAAAAATAAATTGTAATCATTTATTTTAAAAAAACTCACAATAAATAAATTGTAATTTTTTCTTCATAAATACCCCACTAAAATCATAATTTGTAATGGTAAAAAATATTTTAACAGACTCATTTTATAATGAGAAAATAACCTCAGTGAGCAAAAATGCCTTATAATATACGATTTTAACCAACTTTTTTTGGATTTGCCAAAATGACCAACTAAATCGCAATGCGATCGATAATTCGCAACGCGATCTCCGGTATCGCAAATTAGTTTCCAGATTCGCAACGTGATTCTGACTATCGCATTGCGATTTCCCAAATTCGCGTTGCGATTTTCCTAATTCGCAACGCGAATACGTAAATCGCAACACGATTACGTAAATCGCAACACGATTACGTAAATCGCAATGCGAATACGTAAATCGCAATGCGAATCTGACTATCGCAATGCGATTTACATAGCGTCATTCGTATTAACGCGTATTTTTTTTTCAAATTCCAAACACGAATATATTAATATATCGGAACACTGAACCGTCTACAGTATATCCCGTAATCGTAACTCATAACCTAAAACCCTAAATCATAACTCAGTCTCATCTTCATCTCTCACTCTCTAAGGCGACATCCGTCCCCATCTCCGACGAAATCAGTCCCCACGACGATAACAGTCTCCATCTCCGGCGAAATCATTCACGGTCAGAAATGAAAAATCAACCAAATCAACCACCGAGGGTTAGTTTTTTTAATTATTTTTATTTTGAAATTTTTGCATTATTATTAGGTTTTTCATATTGAAATTGATGATAAGTTTACTGATGTTTTCAATAATAGATTAACCATTTCACTTAGATTGCTTATTATATTCATTCGATTGCTACCAATACTGCTAAACTGTTTAGTCTTTAACCCTGTGAAGTTAGTATTTGTCTTTGTTTTGTCTTTTGGTTGAAGTAATGCAATCCATTCAAGTTTCTTTCAATTTTAGTATTTGAAACCGAGAATGACTATCGCAACGAGTGAATCGCAACGCGAAAATGACTATCGCAATGCGAATTTGACTATCGCAACGAGAGAATCGCAATGCGATTTTCATTTCGTGTTGCGATTCTTGCGTTGCGGTAGTCAAATTCGCGTTGCGATAGTTATTTTCGTGTTGCGATTTTCATTTTCATGTTGCGATTTAAAGTTTCAGAAACTATTCTTCTTCTGCAAATTGAAACTTGAATGAATTGCATTACTTCAACCAAAAAACAAATACTAAATTCACAGTGTTGCAAATTTAAGTTTGAAGAATAAACTACTACTCTTTATGTTTATTGTTCATATCTTCACAGTGTAGTTTTTGGTATATATAAATTGGTATGTTTATTGTTTTTGCAGAACTTTTATTCGGCTCAATTGACCTTAAGAAATAAAGTAAGCCTGGCCAAAACAATTGCGTCGAAGCTTTCACATGCACAAAGAAAAATATTTGAGGATACTTACTTCGGGCCATGGCTGAAAGTACAACATCCGGGTGGAGATGCTATGTTGACCCATCTGTTTCTTCAAACCATGACTAGCGATCTACCAGAGACTATACAACGTCGTGATGAAGAGATATGGTTTGATTTTCCACCGGCGTATACGTGTTTTGGGCGGGAGGAGTTTTGCTTAATCATCGGTCTACGCTTCGGACACGATGATGTAGATCGGTACACTAGACATATTACCCGCCTATCATGGTTTTCCCGGGTTTTTCCTGAGCAGTCAACGGAGAAGTCGAATTTACACGTAGAAGACTTGACGAGATTATTGAATAAGAAAGATGGTTTTACTCGAATGGATGACGTCGATGTTGTCCGAGTATGCCTTCTAATACTTTTGCAAGCCGGCTTTTTAGGCAGATAGGCCCGACAACCTATTCCTAATGATCTAATTAAATTGGTAGAGGACCTAAATGCATGGAACCTGTTTCCGTGGGGTTCGTATCTATAGAGAGCTACATGGAATAAGTTGTCGTCTGCCTTTAATGATCGGAAAAGTTTGCGTGGCGATGGTTCCAAATACACTTTGTCAAGCTTTATTTGGGCCTTTAAGGTAATAATTTTTATATAATGTTTCCAAAATTATAATTAATTCTTTAACAATTACTAATGTTTGTTATTATATTGTTTGTAGATTTGGATATTTGAGGCCTTTCCCGCCATGCAAACATATGCATTAAAAAATTCTAATGATATTCCTAGGGCTATTTCTTGGAAGAGGAAACGGTCCTTGCAGCAATGGGAAGATTTACTACCATATACTACAATAAATAATGTAAGTTAACACAAATACTACCATATGTTTATAAACAAGTTATTACTAGTACACGTTTAACTTTGTTTGAGCTTTTATATTGTTAGGAGGCCAACACTCCATTACAGAGGTTGACACCCACGGAAGCTGAGCTTGCCACTGATTGGTGGCAAGCTAGTAAGCTTTTTATTTTGATGGCACGGATGATGAGCAGCCACCACTTCGAGAGCCATCACCTCACCCAGAGCCATCACCTGATCGATCCGAATATACACCTCCACAACGAGAGTCATCACCTATTCTGTCACATCATCGAGCCTCTTCTCCACCATCACCTCATGATAGGTGACCGGCAAAGATGCCATGACGTTTATCTCCATGTTCTCCACCTCCACCTCCACCTCCACCTCCACCTCCACCTCCACCTCCACGGGATGAGTTAGGGGAGTTACGTAATGAGGTCAATGCCTTGCGTGAGGAGGTCGGTACTTTACGCGATGACAATGGTGCATGGCGTGTTGAGGTGTCTACTTTACGTGGTGAGGTAGCAGCTCTACGTGAGATTGTAGCATCGTTGCAGAACGAGGTTCATACT